TTCTAATTAACAATTAGTGTGTAACCCGTCAAAATTATGACAATATTTTTCTGAAAGGATTTAGGCAAGCATCCTTACTCTCAACAGGGTCGAGCTTTTCTATTTTCATATTGATCAAGCTTGATAATACTAATTATTGTTTATGCGATAAATAACCTTTCTTAATTAAAATGTTTCAGATAAATTCATATAAATCTGCATCATATGGTATTTCAATAAGATCTATACCTCGCTCTCTGCATATATTCCGCTTTTTTTGGTCGCGTGATCTCTGTGAATCTAGGTCAGTCTTACCATTGGGGTGAAAGTGTTTTAGAACAACACGAAAATGTTGGATGCCCTGGAATTCGAATGCTAATTTTAGCTTCATTATACCCGTCTAATTGCATCCCATTCAAAAATGACGGTTTACAAGATGGAAATTTCTCACCTAACAGATCTTCAAAAATATATCTACAGCGACGCTCATCGATGTGATGGAAGCAAAGTGGACATCATTCAAATTTCATAGCTATTAATGGATATGGATATTCCCACTGATGTTTTCCGTTTTCACAGGTCCAAAGATATACGTTGTTACGATCAGAAACATTAATAAAACATTTATTACTGTCAAAATTATATATTCATTCGGATAAATCTAAACAAAACCGACATCGACCAACATCAGCCAACATTGTCCAACATCGATCAACATTGACCATTATTTAACTGTTATTGTCCAACATCGATCAACATTGACCATCATTTAACTGTCATTATCCAACATCGACCAACATTGTTCAACATTATCCAAAAATAACCCCTATTTAACCTAATAAAATTAATGTCAAATAGTAATTAATTAACACTATACGTATAAATTTATCTTCTTCTTCTAAATATTGTATTTAACTATTTCTTTACTATTATTATCATATTTAACTATTTCTTTACTATTATTTTATATAATTATTATATTTAATTATTTCTTTACTATTATTATCATATTTAACTATTTCTTTACTATTATCTATGTAATTATCTTGAAAGAAATAATGTACTAAAAATATGTATATAAAGAGCTGTTCTTGCTCTCAAAAATAAAGCATCAATTGATCAAGGTACAGCTAGCAAAATAACTTGTTCTATAAGTTATTGTATCAAATCAATAATACTTAAATTTAAATCTTATCAACTTAAATAATATCATTTGCGCATAATTATCTTTGATTACTTGATTTATTGAATTAATCACATTTACATCGCTAAGGATATAAAGTACACTTAGGATTTAACTACACTAAGAAGATACACAACATCTTTTAGTTTAAAATAATACTACTAATTACTACAATTTAAATAATATATTAAAGGTTAAAAGAGATAACAACTCTCTTGAATTATTTTTATATCCAAAGAGCACCATCGTAACACCGTGGAGTATTTTTCGGTGACGGAGCATACTTTTGCCATTCATTCTGGTTATGCAACCATTCACGAACTTTTTTATATGGAAAATTATATCCTTTATCTCTGATAGCATTATACAACTTTCGAGGATTGGAATAATAACCGGTAGGTTGGTAAAAAAGCAATTTACAGATTAAGTTTAATTCCTCATTTGGGTCTATAATAATACTAGGTTCCATATTAAACTTAAGTATATAAAAATAGAAATGTCTCGATTAAAATATTCTTTAGAAACTGTACGTATGATAGCAATACAAAAAGGAGGAGAGTGTATTTCTACGGAATACAAAAATTCTATGACTCATCTTTGGTGGAGATGCAATAAAGGTCATGAATGGCAAGCGTCTTTAAATAAAGTGAAAGATAAAAATACATGGTGCTCACATTGCAGAAAAATTACAATCGAAGATATGCAACAGATCGCAAAAGAAAGAGGAGGGCAGTGTTTATCGACCATATATATTGATTCACATACACCTTTGAATTGGAAATGTGCTAAAGGTCATCAATGGTCAGCAACTCGATCAAGTATATATAATAATAAAAGTTGGTTCCGTCAATGTTTGACAGAAAAAAGTCGTGGATCGATTCAGATTATGCAACAGATTGCAGAAAAAAGAGAAGGGCGCTGTCTTTCAACAGAATATATAAATTGCAACACTAAACTTGACTGGGAATGCGTTAAAGGTCATCGATGGTCAACAACTCCAGAAATTATTTCTCAAGGATCATGGTGTCAAGTTTGTTATTATTATTCTAGAGTAGTACATACAATTGAAGATATGCATCGAATCGCACAAGAAAAAGGTGGATATTGCCTTTCGACAAAATATATTACTTCACATACATACCTTGATTGGCAATGTAAAGAAGGACACATATGGAAAGCAAAACCAGCTTATATTCTTAATGGTTCATGGTGCAAATTTTGTGCATATAGAAGGAAGGTTATTTGGACTATCGAAGATATGAAAAAAATCGCTCAGAATCGAAATGGTTATTGTCTTTCAACAGAATATATCAATATACATACTCGTCTTGATTGGCAATGCATAAAAGGACATTTATGGCAAGCAAAACCAAGTTACGTTATTTACAATAATACATGGTGCCCACATTGTAAAAATAAATGTGAGAATTTGTGTCGGGAAATTGTGACAAAATATCTTGGTCCCCCTTCATCAATTCGAAAACCCAGTTTTTTGAAAACTCAAGAACATCCAAATGGACTGGAACTTGATATTCCTTACTATAATTATGGTTTTGCGATTGAAGTGCAAGGAAAGCAACATATATATCGAATCAAATTCTTCCATCCAAAAGCGGGGGACTTTGAGAAACAACAAGAACGGGATCAATTAAAAAAAGAATTATGTGATGAGAACGATATCTATTTATTTTTATATTTACTATGATGATGAAGATCCAGAAAAGACTATCCGAGATGAACTATTTGCACTAGGTCTACTCGATTAAATCATTTATGGATCTTACTAATAATATTTCATAATTCAATAGCAAATATATATCCTATTTGCCCTCATCTGGATCGATTCTAATAATAGGCTTGCTCAATTTACTCATTTTCGACGTTACTTATTATAGTAAAAATTACGTTTAGCAAAGTCAGAGATAAGTCAATATAATATGCCGTATAAAATAGAGACAAAGTCTCATTACTTCGTAATAACATGGCATTTCGTAGACCACGACCCCCTAATCAAACAACTCATAGATCAGCTACGGATAAAGAACTCGAGCTAGAGCAAATTAACCAAGAACTCCAGGAGATATTACAATCGGAGGTAGCCATCAACAAGTCGAATGAGAAATATATAAAGGATCTGGAACGTAAATATACCCGGTGTGAGAATGAAATTCAATCTCTCAATAAAGAACTGGAACGGCTTGAGAATGCTTCGGAGGAAGAAAAGTTGGAGTTGAGATCAGAAATATCATCCCTTAAAAAAAGCTTATATCAAGCTAAAAAAAAAAGATCTGAGACAAGATATTTTATATTGATAGTATAGAGAAGCAATTACAAGAATCAGAAGAGCGGGTTCAAAATTTAAGACATAGATTCAAAGTTATTTCTTCTCGAAGAAGCTCTCCAAGTTTATATAATTCAAAAGAGGAAGACATAGATATGGCGAATCTTGATCTTTTTATACAAATTGACCGAGACTTGAATCGTATTGAAAATCATTTTAAAGGTGCTGGAACGTCATTAAATAATTCTATAAATAGTATTAGAGGTTCCTTAAATGCCGTTCGTCTTAATTATCAATCTGCATATCAGGATATAGATGGTGTTATAGCTCAACGGGATGATAGCAATAATCAGATAGTCCAGCTATAGCAGGATGTCAATTACTATAGACAATGGAATATCATTTTGCAAAATCAAGTTAATCAGCTTACCCAAAATAATTTTCAGGACCAAGTCAATCAGATTATCCAAAAACGAGATAACTTACAGAATCAAGTTAATCAAATTATCCAAGAGCAATATAATTTATGAAATCAAGTTAACCGACTTACTTATGAGCATGACAATTATCAGAATGATCTTACTTTGATGACTACAGCTTATAATAATGAACAGGGAGAACGTCGTCGCTGGTGATTCTCATATCGTGATAAAAATAGACGTGTTGGTGAATTAATTCGAGAAAAGTTCGCTATTCAATTATTATTACAGTGATGTCATACCAATAGTAGGAATTTACAACAAAGATATGATATGTGAGGGCGTTTGTGATATAATATTACCTTGGCATTAGAAGAACAATTAAAACTCAAATACGTTTTTAAAATTATTTATAAGGTATTTATTTATCGCTTAGAACAGGAGCTACAACAATGCCGGGCTGATAAAGGATTATTAGAATATAATCAAGATCAGCTCTTTGATAGATATTATAATAAATTCAAGGATCAGAAGGCAAGTCATATTAAGTGAAAAAATAGGGAGCGTAATTCACAGCAATTAATTTTAAATTTGAATCAACAAATTTTTACGCTTCAGAATAATCTACCTATAAATAACCAATATAGAGGAATGGCAGAATATGCATCATCCTATTTTACGGAAAAGCTGAAGAAGATCCTGAAGAATGGATTAGAGATTTTAGACAATACTGTGAAGCATCTGGGCTTGATCCACTTGCAGATGCTCGAATCAGAGTAAGGATTCATGAACTTTTTGAGACGTGTTTAAGAGATGATACAAAAGATTGGTATGAAACTCATCTCAAGAATAAAAATTGGGAATTACAAAATATTAGCGACAATATGGGTCTTGCAGATCTTGGTACCATCAATAGATTGACTAACAATAATGCATTGCGTGCTATTAATGTCAATCAGTTTAGAGGTGGAGCTCTTCAAATAAGAAATACTGTTCTAGCTGATAATAATGCAATCGCCACACCATTAGTGCCAGCGCATACTGTTTTCGATGAAGACTGGTTGATATCTGGTGGACGACCAACAGATCTAGCTCCAAATGCTCCCAATGCTAATGCAGGAGGTAATACTATAGCTCCAGGAATTCGTATTGGACAGGTACTATATTGGTTTAGAACCAATTATCCCACAATAACTGCTGAAAAATCAAAAGTGATATTCCATAACATTACTCAAGGTACTGATCCTATAGATCATTTTTACGCAAAATTAAAAAGAATGGTTGATCTTGCCTATCCCACACTTCCAGCATTGAATCGAGAAGAAATGGTTAGACAGCAATTCTTTCAGGACCTTTCTCCTGATAACAAAATAGAAGTAAAACATATTGGTCTCAAATATCCAATTTTCGCTTTACTACCAAAATTAGAAGAAATTGAAAGACAGAAGGCTGAAATGATGTTAGGTCAGTATAATCCTGAATCTCATCCCATTATTTCTCGATTACAATCTAAAGATAACGCAAAAGATTCTTACATAACAAGCAATATGGGTATGACTGAAACTGAAGTCAGAAACTTGGTAAAATCTATGATGTTATCTAAACAATCTCGCAAACTATCTCTTCTAAGCCTCAGGAGAACCAGATCACGCTTTCACAAAATGATTTCAAAAAAATTATAGCGGGTTTGAAGGGAACTATTGCTAAAGAACAACAAACTTTGAAGAAACCCCCTGGACCAGGGAAACGAAAAGCTGATGATCTTGCTATGGATCATTTTTTAGAAAATTTAATAAATGATACAGATTTACCTGGAGAGGACTATGACTATGATCCTGTTGAAGATTTAAGACTACAATTTGAGCAGTTGGTAGTGTTCCTATGAACTGAACCGAACCGGACTTTTGCCCGAGTTCGAGTTCGGTTCGAAATTCGAACTGACTCGAACCGGACTTTGGCTTGAGTTCAAGAAAGGTTCGAAGTTTGAACTGAACTCGAACTGAACCGTTATACGAGTTCGAGTCTAGTTCGAGTTCGATTAAAGATCAGCATATAGTATTATTATTCCAGTTCTTTTAACAGTATTTATATAGCAGAAGGTCTTTAACGGGTCTCTTCTTACAGTTATAAGAGAAGATAGTGGATCAAGTTAAGTTTATTATTAAGAAAGTTATACGTTATAATTA